CCACACAGACACGTGGAGATCGTCCGTGTCGGTATATGAATTTCGTGAGTCCCCCATGAGTCATGAATTCTCAATATATTTTCGAGGAGTATCATGTATATACGGTTGAGAGAGTACAATTGATATTTTTAGGCATATCATTTCATGGTGTCATATTGGATTGCATCCCATGACATCCTTCATTCTTTATGATTATATATTTTACGGGTGGTTGGAAAGTACTTGATATTTGGTTACCTCTATTCAATGAATTTGATCTTGTGTATTGATGATATTGTGAGTGCCTTTTTGTGGAGGTTGTAATTGATGAATATTGAGCTTGTTGAGAATATGTGATTGTTAGAATGTTGTTGAGATATGTGCTTTTAAATGGTGAAATATTAGGTTGAGTTGATTTTGTGCAGGTTGTAGTTGTGGAGGTTCGTTTGGGGTGTATAAGTACCCGTATTTTATCCTTTTAGCTTGTGTTAGGATGTTTACTTGTTGAGTATCGTATGATTTGGTACTTCTACAATTTTTTATAGGTTATTAGCATGAACCTTTGTAATATTTTCTCTTCTTCTTGTACGAGACTTTTATGGAGATTTGTGAGGCGGTTGCTTGTCATTTATGCGGACCTTCTTACACATATTTATGATCTTGTTTTACTCTAGAAACAATGTCATATGAGACTTGTATTTTTCTTTTGATTCATTTGTAATACTTCAGAGGTTTGTACACGTGACAATCAGGTTTTGGGGGTTTAATCAAGTTGACCTTATGTTTCGCAGTATTTTATAGTATTAGACTTTGATTAACGTTTTAATTCCGCATTCACTATATTAGTAGGATCTTAGACTGACTTGTCTTCATGGGATAAGATGAGTGTACTTATGTCCATTTTCGGACTGTGACATGTATGGTATAAATAATTAAGAAAATTATGTTTCATCATAGGATACTTTTTTTCATTTATTTTTATTTATAATTTTGATATATTTTTCCAACGGCTATGTATTACGTGAAGACTTTTGTATAATTAGAATATAGATTATGCAGTGACTAGCGGTCAACTATACATTTAATTGCCTATAAATAGTAATTACAATTTTTTTTAAAAAAATAAAGCAAATATGACAAGTTAATTAAGTGACAATCTCATAGTATAGAATATATTTGACTCAAATCCAGTTAAATCAAGAAATTATAGAAAGTAATTTAGCAGTCTACATGTTTGTATTAATTTGTCACAACGGTCATAGATTATTTTTTTTGGGTAGTACATAAAGCGATGTCACATCTAATTATGTTTCACCAAGACATAATATACAATACATTATTTTCTCCCTTCTCTTCTTTTCATTTATTCATTTGTTCAACAACAAAAAAAAATTGGACCAGAATAAATTCACAAATGTGCAAGGTAACTATATGGAATTTCGCTGTTCACTTTTTTTTTTAATTTGATTTTTGGTATACAAAATTTTTGTTTAATTAAAGATTTTTTTTTTTGATATATGAATGAAAGGTGGAACGCACAAATTGTCAAGATTGGAGGGGAGAGGACACAAACTAGAAGAGCACTTAGTGTTATTAACCAGAATTTAGTCGGAGCTCATCGATATCCTTGCATTGTTAATAAGCGTGAATTATCACAGTAATCTTTGTTATAATCTTTAAATTATTATATTTTTATGTGTTTTCGTTTTTTATAATTTATTTGGGGTTTTTCTTTCTCTTGATTTTAGAACAAACGGGAGGTTAGACCATAACGTTAAATTTTAAATTTTTTTTTATGAATTTTATATATAGATTTTAGTAATGTCAATGTCACTATTGCTTAATTATATTTTTGGTTAGTTAGCTGATACATAAAGCATAAATTTTTAAATGTAGGAAATTTGGTGCTACACTAATTGGTACCTTACACCAACATTACCTCGAGGTAAAAAATTTGGATCTCATATCATGTGAAAAATTAAAACATAAAAGTTGATTTCTAAAATTTTTTAAAGTGTATTCAAATGATTTTGAACAGGAAACCAAGAAACCAAAACCAGCTATTGGAGATTTTACGATATGGGAGGAACATGACACAAATGAAGCTCAACCAGTTCCTATGTGTTTGGAACAACCTGAATCATTCTCAAATGACAAGGTCACACAAATTATTAGAAAATTTATTTTGAATTTTACTTTCTAATGGTATTAATTTGTGTTGATGTTCTATACATATGCGCGATTAAAAATTCAGGAGGTGGAGATTGAAATGGAGGATGTGTTTGAGGAGGCGTTAATAGACATTGATAATGATGATGCAAAAAACCCTCTTGCTGGAGTTGAATATGTGGGAGATTTGTATGCCTACTACAGGAAAATGGAGGTTAGTCTAGTTTCGTTAGAAGGATCTAAGTTATATATATAGCGCGAATAATGTTTACATGTTGTAAAGTTATACGTTATTGTTGGTCAGCTTAATTTGATAGTATTATTAACATAAATATTTTGTTAGTGCGCAGAACTTCTTCTGAAAATTTCAGCTTTGTTGAGGTAAATTTCATAAGTAATGAGGTAGGTATCTAGTCTTTATTCAATCATTTGATTGTTAATTGAGTTTCAAATGAAAAAATATTATTTTTTTTTCAAATCAAGAATTTTTTTAGGGTTAGTGGTGCAAGGTTGATTAGAAGCTTTTATAGCAAGACTACAATAACTGTTCTTTCACTATTGATGGATTGTTTAATTACAAGACTATGTAAATTTATCATGTCTTCTTAAATTATCAACCTTATGTTTAGTTAAAATATTCTTCATTTGATTGTCCACGCGTTTTTTCTTTGAAACATCTCAAAGATACATTTCAAACATTATGACATATGTCTATTAAAGATATTTAAATCATGTTTCGATAATATTTTAACAACGATGATAATCTCAAAAAAGTTTTGTATTCAATATTTTAATATTCTGATTTTCAACAATTTCAATTGATATAATATCGGATTCGAATTTTTAAACTCACTTTAAAATATCAAGATTTGTTCAATAATAGTTAATTTTACGTGTTATCTAAATTATAATAGTGAAGAAGAAGAAACGATTTGGAGGGTGTTGTAGGGCATTTGTGCAAATAAAAAGAAAGTATATATATAGACTATAGTACTGTTTCTTTTAAGCTCAAAAAGTCTTTATAATAATCAATCGGTAGCCTTCATGAAGGATTATTTCCAAGCAAAGCATGGTATGAGTTCTTATGTCATTACTTAATTGCTTTTTTTTCTTCTTTAATTTTATCGATACATCTTTCGTATTTGTTACGTCCTTTATTTTAATTTATTTGATTTGATTTAGAATATTTATGAAGAGATATCTCTTTATTTTTGATGCATTTTTCATAAGTCACACGATTTAAATATGCAAAGAAAAAAAACTTCATTCGTTTAGCACATTATTTCCCCATATTATATACTATATGAGCATGTCCCTTGTCAACACGGGTCCAACACTTCATATTTTCAAGTAGTTAATGTTTTACATTATTATTTAGTGATAAAAGATAAACTTATATACTAGTATCATTAGCTCTCAGTAAAAGATATATATATATATATATATATATATATATATAAATGATAAAGCTATATATGATAGATTATAGATACGTTTTCAAATATGTATATTGGCAAAATTAATCTTTATAATATTTTCAGTTCAATCAATTTTATTTTTTAAAATGATTAGCCACTAACTTTCCTAATTTTTTCCTTGCTCGATATTTATTTGCTATACGATAAAGTACACTTCTACTACCTGTCATCTTAAAATAATTATGTGATGTAGTTCACAAGTTTTTCTCTGCTAAATATTAATTAACGATGAAATTTAATTATGAAGCAATTTGATAAAATAAACAAATTATTTATTGCTTTGACAAATCTTGTTATAATAAATCTTAAAATAAATATGACTTTGTTACATACTTCACAATGTTATTAGATACATGTGATTAAATTTTTGATATATACGCCAAATACAAGTAGTAAATGTTTTAATTACTTCATAGTATGTGTTGGAGGGCATTTCACCAACTTTCCACGAAGTCACCATTTTGAAAAGAAAATAACTAAAAGTTAAATTTATTTTTAAAAATATCATATTATCGTATCTCAATATTTTAAGCAAAAACTAAAATTCATTTATCCATATTTACATCATCAAATATTAAATTTTTTTTTTAAAATCATATTATTGCATCTCAATATTTTAAGCTAAAACTAAAATTCATTTATCCGTATTTACATTATCAAATATTTTCAACGTCTTTATTTTAATGACTTAGAGCTCATTTAATTTGGATTGATTTAAAAAGTAGCTTTTAAGTTAATAATAAAAAGACAAAATGAAATGATTTTTAAGTCAAAAAATAGAAAGTAGGGCGAGACCTACTTTTGATTCTTGACTTATTTCAAGTCATTTTGAACTTATTTAAATAATTTTTGTCCTTGTCAAACACTTCCCGGCATATTTTGAGTTTTTTTAATATTTATTTGTCAAACACCTCCAAATGTTAAAAATTGACTTAAATTTCCATCTTTAAGTCGTTCAGTATCATGTCATCTCATAGCTACAGATGTTTTAGAACAAATGAATGTCCTCTGAAGTCTAGGCTTTAAAGAAAAGTACCTTAAAACCTTTATTGGAATTTAATTGACCTCATTAGTTAAGTCATTACGAATATTCTTCCATCTTGAAGCTCCACACACAGAGCAATTATCTAACTTTGCATTGTCATTCCAAAATAACATGCAATTGTTAGTGCAAGCATGAATTTTCTCATAATGAAGACCCAAATCTTTTATGACCTTTTTTGCCTTGTAAGAGGACTCGGGTATCTGAGCAAATGGAAATGTCTCTCTTATCAAGTCCAACAAATCTGAAAAGGCCATATCAGTCAACTTGTGAATGCATTTAAACAAGTATAATCGGATGGTAAAACTCAACTTAGAAAAATTCTTACACCCCGGATACAACTCTTCTTTCTCTTCCTCCACTAATTTAAAAAATCTCATCGATGAATTATTATTATTAAACAACTCTTTTTATCCTAACTGATCAATCCATATATCGATGAATTATTATTATTAAAAATAAAACATACATAATTAAACGAAACAAAGATGAATCGATTCATAATAAACACGATTCAGTACTACTACTCATCACCATCCTCATCCTCATCCTCTTCTGGTGCTGGGAGATTCAAATCTGGCAATAGATACACCGGCTCCCTCGGAGCAGCAGGAACATCAGCATCAGCATCAGCGGTCCCATCATCAACACTAATGTCACTGGAGTTGTCATCATCAGGTGATGCAATTGGTTCATATGGTGGTGTCCAGTTCGGAACCTGGTCCTGGTTCAAGTCAGGTACATAGGAAGTCTCCAGCACCTGATGCGACTGCATGTGACGGAGAAATAATATCATCGTGTCAAACACCATATCACATGCATAGCAGGTTCTTTCTAACACCGATGGTTCTGGTGCTGGTGCTGGTGTTGGAGCTGGTACTGGTGGTTCCACATTTGCCCTTTTGGCCCTGTCCTCTGACGTCCCTTCCCCTCCGATCACCATGAGTCCCC